AAAAAAAAAAAAAAAAAAACCAGCGAAAGGGAGAGAGATAGAGAGAAAAAAAAATGGGGTCGACGGCGAAAAACATCAGCGGCTCAACAGTGGCGGATCCATCCTCCGGCGAGGAGGAGGCATTCCTGTTCGCCATGCAGCTGGCGAGCGCCTCCGTTCTGCCGATGGTCCTCAAGTCCGCCATCGAGCTCGACCTGGTCGAGCTCATCCGCCGGGCCGGAGACGGCGCGTGGGTCTCGCCGGTGGATCTCGCCGCCCAGCTCCCCACCGCCAACCCGGAGGCGCGCGTCATGATCGACCGGATCCTCCGGCTGCTCGCGACCTACTCCGTCGTGAACTGCCGCCTGAGGCCGCTCCCCGACGGCGGCTCCGAGCGGCTGTACGGGCTGGCGCCGGTCTGCAAGTTCCTGACGAAGAACGAAGATGGCGTTTCCATGGCTCCTCTGCTTCTGATGAATCAGGATAAGGTTCTCATGGAGAGCTGGTAATTTTGATTTTATCCCTTTTACTAATTACTCACAATATTTACATTTTTTTTTTTTTTTTCATGAGTGAGGTTTTATTGTCTTTGCTAACCATTTATAAGAATAACTATAATTTTAATTTTAATTATATGTAAAAAACTTTTTAATTAATAAACTATATGTAAAAATAAACTAGATGTAAAAAAGGATAACTATAATTTTAATTTTTAAGAATAACCATTTAATCCCTTTTATAAAACTTTTATTTCAACATTAATATATTCTATAGAAAAAAGTATATTTTTTCCCGATAAATTAATATTACCTCATATAGAAATTAGTCTATTTTTCTTGTTCTCTTTTTTTTTTCTTCCTTTTTCTTCGGTGGAAAATGCTAGGTCATGTTATCGGGTTTGTAACCATTAGATGAACTATCTCGACGGTTACATGATGATCTAACGATTACAAACTCGTCGGAAAGGTTCGGTACTAGGACTATAACATCTAAAAAACTTTTAATTTATGTCGTACTTTACTCATATGAGTTCTTTTCTCACACGGCATCCATGGATTGCAACAACTACTTTTTTTTTTTTTTTTGGTACAAATTGCAACAACTACTTTATTAAAGTGAAATCGTGTGTTTGGATATTTTTATTAATTTTGAATTAATGTTTATACGTGAGCAGCATACATACGTCATTCATTGCATGCCAAAAACATTCCTGGCTGATGACTTTTCCATTTCCTCACTTTTTCTATAACATTGTTGAATCATTTGTTTAACTCTTTGCATTTAAAATAAAAATTTGATCGATCAGTTATACTGTAATAATAAATATTATAAATAAAAATGTGACATTCCATAAAATAATTTTTTCTTATGAAAATATATAACATATGAACCCGTTTAAGAAAATAATTTAATCAAATATTTCCCAAAGTCTTACCTACTACACGTCGTCCCAAAATAATGAAAGTGTTTGATCACACGCTATACTCCATGATTGCAAAATCCTTCACAAATTAGGTACAAAATTTGTTTAATCTAATTAATGGTGGGTACCATATTTGGAAAAGTAGTATTCTTAAAGTTGGTGAACTAACGTATAATGGTTCACTTGTTTCCCAATCCTTGTGTGACTTTTTTTCTTGTGTTTCATTAATTCTCCTAATTACTCTTGCAAGAAGTCACATTATGGTAGGATGTGCTTCAAATGAGAATCGAGTGCTAGCGTGAGAATCGTGAGAATTGTTATTTTTAATTGTATGCAGTGCTATGTTTGATCATGTTTTAATGCTATCTTTAATCAGGATGTATTTGTTTAAAAATATCACCACAATTTATATTATCATTTGTTATATTAAAAATATCATCAAATACGGTTCTCACAGCAAGACTAACTTTTTTTTCTTAAAAAAAAAAAAAAAAGCAATACAACGAAACAGCTATAAATTTTCGCTAGGTACCAAACGTTTATTTGACAAATTGCATTTTGAATTCTACACTCAGACCAGCTAATACCATCAGATATCAATTTACTGTCAATGGCCCATAAATATTTCTTCATACATTCAAAGTCCGGATTAAGTCTTCTGTTCGACCGGCCTAACCAGTACAACATTTGATAGTAGTATAAGCATGCATTTTTCATCCAACATGTCGATTAATATATTATCCTAACGGCTAGATTGTCTCGCCACAGAAATTCGTCTATTAATCTGAATCGTTCACAAATCATAGGTACCACTTGAAAGATGCAGTGTTAGAAGGTGGAATCCCCTTCAACAAAGCATATGGGATGACTGCATTTGAATACCATGGCACAGACTTAAGGTTCAACAAAGTGTTTAATCAAGGAATGTCAAATCACTCGACTATGGTGATGAAGAAAATTCTGGAAATATATGATGGTTTTGTGGGGCTTGAGACTGTTGTGGATGTTGGTGGAGGGACAGGTGCCACGCTGGATATGATCGTGTCCAAATACCCA